TACCAGTGGAAAAAGGGAAACCCTACATGAAAAAGTCAGTGTGGCATATTTCAATTTATATGAAGTTGTAGGACAGGCATAACTAAACTACACTGAGAACAACTGTAGCCTCTTGGAGTCGGAAAGGCAGTTATTGACTGCAAAGAACTACGAAGACTTTGGGGACTGAATATTTATGCCTCTCAAAACGCATATGTTGGAAGCCTAATCCCCAATGTGATGGCATTTGAAGGAGCAGGCTGTGGGAAGCAATTAGGCTAGAAGGATAGAATCCTTATGAATGGGAGGAGTGTCCAGGAGCTCTTCTCCTCTGTGTCAGGTGGGGACAATGAGAAGATGGTAATGTAGGATCTGAAAAAGGTCCTCACCAGAATTCACCCTGTGGGCACGCTTATCTGGTGTGCAGCCTCCAGAACTATAAAAGTAAATTTCTGTTGCTTAAGACCCTTAATCTATGATAATCAGGTAGAGAAGTCTGAACCAACAAGGACAATGGTAGATTTGGAGGAATAGCGATATGCTGAGTCTCATCTGGGAGTCACAGGTATGCAGTCGGCAGAACTCAGGGAAAGTAGATGATGTATGCATTTCACTATACATATTCTTACCTCAGAAAAACCTAGGCAAGTAACTGGTATAGTACACATGCCAGAACACTTAGAAGAAAGCAGTTATGGGTTAAGTTAAAATGCATCAAAACCAGAATGGTTTATAAGTGACTAAAGAAATGAACATGCATGTGTATAATAAAATGATAATGGTAAAGTATTGGTGGTGAGCACACAGCTATCTTAATACTCATTTTGTATAGTTTTAAAGCAAGGTGCTATAAAAACAGTTAATCTTTTTAAAAAGTACATTTAGGGGGCTGGAGGGATTGCTCAGTGCTTAAGAGCACTGAATGCTCTCGCAGAGGATCCAGGTTCGAGTCCCAGCACCCACATGGCAGCTAACAACAATCCGTAACTCCAGCTCCTGGGGATCCAATGCCCTTTTCTGACTTCCACAGGCATTGCATGGCACGGGTGCACTCACACATATGCAGGCAATACACTTCTAACACATAAAATAAAAACTAAATAAATATTTTTTAAAGTACATTAAAAAAATTTCCCTTGATACATTATCCAATCTCAAGTGCTCAGTCCTAACTACGTGTACACACAAGCACCAGTAAATGGATTCAGTAGATTTAGATTGTGTACATATGTATGTATGTATGTATGTATGTATGTATGTATGTATGTAAAACAATAATAATCAATGAAGAGGTCATGAAATTGAGAGGGTAGGTGAAGGGGGACTATGGGAAGAGTGGGGGGACTGGAGGGATGGAAATTATAGAAATAGAGTACTCAAGTATGAGATTCTCAAAAAATTAATTTAAGAAATTTCCTCCCAAATTACAACACAACAAACTTTAGTTCACATTTAGAAAGTGAGAAAACTACAACAAAACTTATATGTCTAAATTAAAGATTAAAAAATGTTTTCAGACTCAGAAAAAAATTAATCTAGATAGACGTGGTGGTGCACTTGCTTGTAATCCCAGTACTCAGGGAGTTGAGTCAGGATGGTGAGTTTGAGTCCAGCCTGGGCTAAGAACTTGTCTCAAAAACAAAACAAAACAAAACCAAAAAACAGGGCCAGCAAAACGGATCAGCAGGTTAAAGGTGCTTGCTACCAACACTGATGACCTGAGATGAATTGCCAGATATGGTGAAAGGAGAAAACTGACTCCTGAAAGTTGTCCTCTAACCTCCATTCAAGCACCTTGGTGCAACATGCACACATGTACACTAACAAACAAAAATTTTAAATGTAAGAACAAACAAATGATCTTCAGAGAGTCCTTGACCTTTGACAAAGAAAAACAGTTTTCCCTTTCTCTTTTGAGTTGAATTGATTTATGTTGGCATACTTTGTTTTATGGGGATAACTGCAAATATTCAATGATTATAATATAATTTACATTTATCCTGAAAAAGTCTCAAGCAGAGCTCATAAATTTTATTTGAATTTTATGCGAATATATCCTTTCTAGGAATTTTGTAACTTTTTAAATAGACTTACGTTTCAAAGTATGATTCTGATAATTATATTGCTTATAAACTACCACAGGGAAACTAAAATACGAGACTTGTAAAATAACATAAGCAAGAAATAACATACGCACTTTCTTGCTTTGATTTGCAAACACTATTTTTAACTAACATATGCATGAATGTATGTGTGTGTTTGTGTATATTTATATACTCTTTTATATTTTCAAAGCTCTCAAGCATGAATGCTCTGCCATGGTTATACATTACCTCCAGTATAGGGTTTCCAGTTATAATACTTTCCCCGGAAAGGCATATTGTCAAAGTCTGCACACTGTTTTTCTCGAAAATCTCGGGAACCCAAAGAGCATGGCTAAAATAAAATAAAATCATAAATGGTACCATTGTTGTAAAACGCCAAAACCAAGGGACAATGTCCCTAAAATTTAAATCTCCTGAACTCTATCATATTGACTCACTGCCTCACTCTCTGGTTGTAATTCTGACATTTATCTTATCATTGTACAATAAGGATTCACACTGAAGTGTCTGAATTGTAATCTTGGGTATAGATAAAATGACTAAAGTAATTTAAACAACTTAAGTGCTAGACAGTGTCCATGTAATTTTACACATGCTATAGACACCCCCCCCAGCAGGCATCTCCTTACAAATACACGTGGACGCTACACTAAGAAACTAAAACATCAAATTCTTTGACAACAATATTTGAAGTTCAGGTTCCATAGATAGTTGTAGCATATTAAGGAACCAAGTTGCAGTCAACATGACATTCAACATTGTAAATTATGGTTTGGACTCCTATACCATAAATTACTGATAGAAACCATACTGTATGTGTGGACTGAACTGGAAAAATGCTAGGACTCAAGTCTAAGCACCTTCAAATTCAAAGGATTTGAGCTTACTAAAGTGTACATTTAATCTTTTAACACCACAGAAGGTAAAATGCTAAATTTGTGTGAAATGTATATATGTTTTTAGGAGAAGAAGGAAAGGATAAAAATACAATAATTAGTTTACAAAAGTCTCACTTCTTTACCTGAAAATTTTAGAGAGAAAAATCTTGCTCATCTAAGTCTAAGTAGATAGATGACTAAGCAATATGACTATTTCATTCATCTTTTCAAGTTCTATAGCATTGTAGCACTTAAAAACAAGGTTATCAATTTTGAAACACCAAAAAAACTTTCCCCTTAAATATGGAACTGAATATTATTTAAGAAAAAAAATTGTAATATTGGAAATCCAACCCAGTACTGTATAAGCTAGCTGAAAAAAATACTGTTCCACTGAACTACATCCCCATCCCTTGAAATTATTAATCTGAATAAATGATATGTTGCAAGTATCTGCAAAGATCATCCTAAGGACTTTCTTTAGTACCATCCATGGATGTCTAAGTTTGCTCTGTATGGCTTCCAAGATCATTAATAGTAAATGGTTGTTATGAAATATGTAAAGATAATAGACCATGATATGAAATATTTGCACGGTTATCATTACTTACTATACACTATGGCTGAAAGTTTTACCATATTAAGTCCAAAACCTCAAATTGAAAAAAAAATAGTTGCAGCAGCTGTATACTCTGACAGGAGCCCTGAGTTTGAAAATATTTTCACTGCATTAAAATATTGCATTCCCAACTCCAAGCATAATGATTCTTCTTATCAAATTACCCTTTTTGCCTACTCTTAACAAAAATGAAGACTAGCTCTTATAAGCTATGTGTACCACACTATGCTTGCAAGGTCTTTGTTTCATGGTCTGATAGTATTTGGATCTTCGGAATACTGTAGGTATGACCAATCTTTTAAAACTTCTATTTGACAGTTTTATGTACAAAGTTTACACTCAAGAAGCCCCCACCAAAAACAAAATCCTTGTGGAAATATTAAATAAGAGTATGATTTTGTCTCGGGCCAGATTTGTAGCTATCCTTGGCCATATTGTGTCTGTGAACCATGAATTGGACATACAAAAGAATATTTTTTAAGCTATTTTCTGTTCTATTCTGGCGAAGAGACTAAAATCTATGGGTTTTTAAGTTTATTTGGGATTTTTTTGTTTTTTGTTTTTGGACAGTGTCTTCCTGTAGCCCCAGCTGGCCTGGAACTCACTATGTAGACCAAGTGGCCTTGGTCTCACAGAGATCTGCCTGCCTCTGCCTCCCAAGTGCTGGGATTAAAGGTGAGTACCACCAAGCCTGGGTGTTTTTTTTTTCAGATTTATTTTTATATTTAATTGTGTATATGTGCATGTGTGTGTGCATGTGTATGTGTCTGTCTGTCTGTCTGTTTCTGTGTGGGGGTATATGCACATGAGCACAGGTGCCCACAAAGGCCAGAAGAGGGTGTCAGATTCCCTGAAATTGGAGTTACAGGGCTTTTGAGCTCCCCTGAGTGGGTACTGGGAATCACAAACTGGTCTTCTAAAAGAGCAGTACCTGCTCTTAACCACTGAACCATCTTTGTAGTCCCTTTCTAAATTATTTTCAAGGAATCCCTCATAAGATTTCAAATCAGTTGCTTAACTAAACACCAACACTCCTTTTCTTTCTTTCTTTTTTTCCAAAACTCCTATTCAAGCCAATACCAACTTCTGAAATACAGGTAATTTGAATTACAAATGTTTTCCCATAAAAATGCTTATACAAGCACAGCTTTTAATCTAGTTGAATAAATAAGCTCCAAGTGGGAAAACTGGAATTATTTCAAAAACATAAAGAGTTAATGACACTACCTTATAGGTTGTCTATAGGAGCTGTATATAAATGACAAATCAACGTGTCATGTGATAAATCAGGAGAATGTTGGTTTAGAAAAAAACTTTATGTCCCAAATTGTTATAATTGAGATAAGAAAGAAAAAGGACCTGGGAAGACTACTAAGACAGCTCTAGGGGACTATTGCTATGGGGACAGGAACAAAAAGACCATGTGTTATGAATGGTTGGAAAAAGTTCACCTTAGATAAAAGAAAAGAACTATACAGATGCTTAAGGAGAAATGACATTTCTTATATAAACGCTAGCATATAACAAAGCTCTGGATTAACAAAATAAGGCATTCACTAGAAGAAAAACACTGCTTTTCAGTATTTTCTAAGGATTCTTCCAAATTGAAGAATAGCAAGTGGCCACAATACTGTTTAATAAAGTACTGGGGTGGCATTCCATAAAAATTCTGATCTATTCCTTTCTTATGATTGCCACTCCCAGGGTTAGTTATAATAAAAATTAAAATCATTATTATTAATGTTAACAGGTATCTATCATAAGTATTTTATGATGGACTTCAGAAATCTTTAGATGTATTATCTACTTAATCCCTTGTAACACTCTTGTGAGGTAATCATAATTAATAACCTCAATTTATAATGAAGCAAACTGGGATACAGAAAGGTTGATTAGTAAAATATAAAATAAATAAGTAAATAAATAAACAAACAAATAAATAAATAAATAAATAAATAAATGATGTCCCCTTCATCTGAATGGGAGTACCCTCTTAATTCTCTCCAAACAATGCAGTAATAGCCTAAGGCTGAGCATGTAAATATATGATCATGTCTGGGTTCCAATAAAAGTATTTACATAAAGAAGTAACAAATTGAATCTAGGAAGCACAAGTTGCTATTCCTTAGGGCATCAACATGATGGATACAGTTGTCTGATAGTATTTCCCAGAAGAGTCAAACTTAATTATTAGTTTTTGAGCCAATACAGAATCATACCTTTCAAGAACTGATGTTAGAGGTGACATAATCCAGTTTGTATAGGATGCTTAAGCTTTATCTATCATTATCCCTAAAATGGCTATTAATTTGTGGAAATATCTAGAGAAGGATAGATCAGATACTTTTTAGAAAACTGCAACTGTTAGCAACATTTTTACTTTTAGACAAGACTTGTTTTCTTATAATCAAGTGGTTTTTCTTCTTTCTTTGAATCTACATTGAACAAATCTTCCTAAACTGAAAGATATCTAGGCCATGATGGCTTTCTTGTACACACATCCTAATTGGTCATTAGGATTCTTAAAACAATGTACAAAGAACTGACACTTAGTAAGTATTAGTAAGTTGCTTACTATGTATCAGGTATAAACAAGACCATGGGATTACAGGAAAAAAAAAAAACATCCTAGCATTCATGGAACTTATTCTAGTTTGATACGAGAAAGAAGAAAAATGAAGCAGAGGAAGGAGAGATTAATAGTGAGGTAGGAGGTAAGGTGTTTGAAGCAGTGTGGTCACAGACATTCTATAAAGCAGAACTGAAGCACAGTTAAAAGAAATGGAGGAAATTGCAAACGCAAAGGCCTCTGGGAAGGAGTGTGTTGATGTATTCACAGAATAGTGTAGATGATGGAATCACTTAAGCGAGCGTGAGTAGAGTTGTTCCCATGTCTTTCTGTTTACGGAACATGTGAACTACTATTCTGTTTTGGTTTCAATATTCCCACCAGTGAAAGTTCTGAATGTGCATTGATTAAAGATGAGGTGAGCAAGAGTATTATTTGCTGGTTTGAAAGAAGGAGAGTGAGCAAAGGAAAGTAATTTCTGAAGGAAAAGAATGTTATAAAATCCATTTTTATTTTGTACAGGAATAATGGAAGGCTTAGTGAATAATACTTTAGGTTACTTAAGGATGATAAATGACAACAGTGCCCTGAAGCCAGAACAGAAGATAAGGTTAATGTTAAACAAGCATCTTCTCCAAAAACCAACCAGTAGGGCCCCATACCTCGAGAGCAAAGTCATAGGCTTTAGGGGCTTCTAAATATTTTCAAAAAGTTTTTCAAAATTAACATCTTCATTACCATTTTCCCATAGATCCATGGAAATCAGCACATTCTATATGAATTACTTTAATAAAGTATTTTATTTCTATAAACTTTGAATTGTTCTGATAGTTAAGCATCTCCTTTGACTAAACCTAATAATTTTCATTTGTAGATGAATCTAGAAAGGGTAGTTTCATTCAGTTGCTACGGAAAGAAGTTTCCGGGTCTGCTGTCAATTTGGAAGTGACATTTCTATCACTGGATTCTAATCTTGGGTTTACCTCAAGGAACAAGGTGACTTTGGCAAGACATAAATCCCTTTGCCTCTTTCTTTCATTTGTAAAATACACTCCAAATACCCTTATGTTGAAGAAAAATATATCCCAAATCTGTCTTATGGGAAATTGAGTGAGAAATAGGCTGAAAACAAAACCCTTTCTCCTTCCCCTTTCCTCTTCAGACCCTAGAGGAACCTAGCAGGCTGGGAAGACAGTGATTCCTCAGTCTTACATCTTCTTGTTTCTATATTCACACCAAATGCACCTTTGCTTCACTCTTGTTAC